TTTTTCCAAATTTTATGCTAATTTATTTAAATATTAATCATTTTGCAATCTATAAAATTGTGAAATGATTGTGAAAAGAATGGGAAGAAGAAATTATGCATAATTAATTTGGATATTATATAAATTTTTTTGTAAAATTTCTCCCAATATTACAATCATTGATTTCTTTGTTTAAATCTTTAACAAAGATGAAAATTTAAATATGGGACAAACATTTTGTTTCCATTTTATTGAAAAATTACATGTCATAAAAGAGTATGATTTATAATCATCAATATAATGGTCATCAATATAATGGTCAATATAATATGATCATCAATATAATGGTCATCAATATGACCATTATTGTTGAAAATTTTAGTTTATTTACTCATCAATCAATATAATGACCATAATTCGAATTATTTTATGGTTATCAATATAATAATTGTAACTGATAAAAATTTTCAAATTATCAATATTTTGAATTTATTTATTCGTCAATATGAGTATTTATCAATATAATGACCATCAATATAATTTATTCATCAATATAATGACCCGGAGCTGTTCAAGTTTTCAAGTTCAATAGAATAACTGTAACTATTCGAGTCTTCAAGTTATTCATCAATATAATGACCATAACTGGAATTATTTTGTGGTCAGTGGTCACTCATCAATAGAATAATCATAACTGATAAAACTTTAAATTACTTATTTATTAAGATAATGATCATAACTGTTAAAATTTTCATATTATTTATTCATCAATGTAATGACCATAATTATTCATTTCATTTCATATCAACCAATTCTTAATTTGTATCTAATTAATTGCTAATTTACATGACCCACGTTAAGGAGATACAATACCGTCGTACAAAATAATTTATTCTTCCTTTGAATTGTTTTTTTTTTCTGTCTTTTTTTTTTTTGTTGGTCATTCATTTAGTTGACTAACCCAAAGGGTTAAAGGGCTCATTCACGGTCTCTCTTTGATCTTGCCTATCCAATGACCCAATTTTTCCAATATCATTTATGGCTACTCTTATCTTTCTCCCTCTTATATCTTTCATTCAATCCCTTTTTTTTTTAATTAACATTTTTTTTTAAACGATTCATTTCCCTTTTAATTGTATTTTTTGGCATGAAAATGAAAATGAAATTTTTTATTTCAATTTTAATTACCGCAGATTGAAAGAACAATTATTGGAATGAGTTGCAATTTTAAAAAAGTTATTAAATTTTAAATTAAAAATTGCATAAAATCATAGCAATTCTCAATTTACAATATTAATTACATTATTTTTTTTTCATAGAAATTATTAATAGAAATTAGCGTTTTGCATGTTTTTGCTTTACTCTTTACATGCAAAAAAAAAAATGAAATTAATTATTGAATTGTATCGGAATTATTTCAAAAAATTTAATAATTTTAATATGGAACTAAAATATTTTCTTTTGTTATATTTGAAATTATATCAGCTAATTTACAATATTCTGAGGAAATAATTGTTATGTAGTCAGTTAATTATTCCACAGTATTTTGAGAAATGATCAAAAATTAGTAAAAACGAAAGGCAAACGAAGTTTGAAATATGTTTATCATATCTAAATTAATCATATCAATGTTTATTAAATATAAATATGAAAATAAAACAAAATAATAAAAATTAAAAAGTCTTAGAACCAAATTATACTAATTGATCATACTTAATTGTTAATTTAACCAATAGGTCATTTATAATTCACTTAACCTATAGGTCATTTTATAATTAACTTAACCTATAGGTCATTCATAATTAACTTAACCATATATTTGATGAGATTCTTTACTCTTTTTTTTTTTTTTTCAGAAGTCCAGCTCGATTACGTCGTTTTTTTGGTGTAAGTAAGAAGAGTAAGAAAAAACGTTTAGTTGAGGTGGACGATGTCAATGTTGTCATCTTTGATTTGGATCTTAATGATAATGATGAACGACCACATACTGCTATCAGTGAAACAGGATGGTATATCATCGTACCTATCAATATTATGGCTAAAGTTAGCAATAAATTTTATAAATTTTAAATAATAAAATTTTTAGGACAGAAAGAGGAATAGAAGAAAACAAATCATTAATGAATTATTTAATGAATATAATAAATTGGATGAAAAAAAAGAAACAAAAATTTTGTTTGTAATTTTAATTTTGTTTAAGCAAAATAAATATCCTTTAAAAAAAGAAAAAAAATTAATGCTAATGAAATTATAAAAATAAATTATAAAGATTTGCTTTAAAATTAGAATTTTTTAGCTTAAATGTTTGTTTTTGTTTTGTTTTGTTTTTTTTTGATGATTGTTAAGAAATTAATGAATTATTAAAGAAATTAATGATTAATGAAATTAATAGGAAATTAATAACTTTTATTATAATTCGTTTTTTTTCCACAAATTTAAATTTTCATTTCGAACTTTTTTTCTTAATTACTTTATTTTAGAGCCGTTTACTACGTGCTTTACATTATTACTCAACACCATCATTAATTGTGGTGGATGCATCAAGTAGGCAAATTATCACTGATGATGGTCGACGTTTGTTGCAAGATGATCCGGATGGTTTAAATTTTCCATGGTAAAATTAATTTTCTTAAATTTTTCTTTCTTGTTTTTTCTTTTAGCTAAAATTTTTGTAAAAATTTTTTTTTAGTAAAAATTAAATTACTAGAATTTAAATGATACAAATGATTAATTGAATTTGTATGAAATTCTAGCTCTATTTATATGAAGTAAGGTATAATTAAAATTAGATATGATTATTTTACAGTTTAATTAATTCGAATTAATTGTGCAAATAATTAGGTAATAGATTTGTAACATATCAAATTAAAAATGAATGATATTATCAAATTAATCATTTGCATATTAATTTATGCCGAAAATTATTACTATCATTTCATCTTTATTGAATGAAAAAAAGTACTACCAATCGTTAATTAATAATCTAAATATTTTATCATACATTTTAATAAATTTAAAAATTTCTAAAAATGAAATTACTAAAAATTTTTTAGAAATAAAATAAATTTGTAAATTTTTAGAAATAAAAAATTGAAATATTTTTCATAAATCAGTAATTCTTTCCTTTTTTTTAAAGGTTTAATATGACAGCAGAAGAGCTTTTTCAAGGCGCTGTATTAAGGAATTGTAAGGATGCTGATGGTACTAAAAAAATTGTAACTGAAAATTTTCAAAATTTAAAATCAACTGTTAAAGGATTATATTTTGGTGCTAATTGGGTAAGTTCTTTTTTTTTTATTTCTTTTTCTTTTCTCTCTCTTGTTTATATCAAATTTCCACTTTAATTTATTACTCATTTAATAAACAAGTAAATTAAAAAATTTAATTTCAAGTAATTCATTTTTAGTGTCCACCATGTCGATCATTTTCACAACAATTAATCTCTTGTTATATATCACTCAAAAATGCCGGTATTCCATTCGAGATATTTTTTTGCTCATCAGATCGGTAAATTATTTTATAACATTTCCTCTTATAAATTGTGTAAAAAAAAAAAAAAAGTGAAATTATTTGAATAAATTTATTTATTTTTGTAATTTTTTCAATTTAAAAAAAAAAATGTTAACAATATAAATTTTATGATATATTTTTAATTAAATAAATTAAATGTATAAATTAAATATATAATTTATATGAATAATGAAGCATTAATGTATTAAAAAAAAAAAGAAATTCTGCTATACGATAATTATTAATTTCCTATATTTATATGCATTTCAAGTAATTGATATAATTAATTATGGATAACAAAGAGAGAAGGGCAAAAATTTTCATGTAAAATGTATAGAATGAAATTTATGATAGTAAGAATTAAACATAAATAAATATAAAGACAAAATAAGTATTTAATTAATGAGTTGTTTATTATTAATTAATTAATTTCAGATCACAAGAATCATTTGAGCATCATTTTTCAACAATGCCTTGGTTAGCATTTCCGTATGATCCACAAAAAACAACTCAATTAACACGTTTGTATAGCGTAAATGGTAAGTTTACTTTTATTTATTTACATGGTCTATTCCATTCATACGTGACGAAAGACATGTTTGACGTATTTGACGTAGATTGATCTATGCATAAATATTCGATAATATTTTAAAAAATGAAGTAAAGATTTTTAAAGTTTTGAAATAAAATTATGTTAATATTAATGGTAAAGGTAAGAAATATTAATAAAATATAGTAATCATTCAAATTTTAGGAAATTTTCCAATGTGTCAAATGAAATTTCATTTAATTTTTCATCAAAAATTTCATCTAATTTTCAAAAAGAAAAAAAAGTATGATTTAAAATTTTCCAAGAAAGTATTATTATTTGAATTTAAATTTGATAATGGTATTAAATAAAATAGCATATAAATTTTAATAAGTAATAGAATAGCATGTAAATAATTAATTATCGAATAATTAATTATCATAAATATTTAGGCATTCCGGCATTTTTATTATTGAACGAAGAGAATCATTTAATAACAAGGCATGGCCGTAATGTATTACTTAGTGATCCAACTGGTAGTTTATTCCCGTGGGGATCATTACCATTGTATGAATTAAATGAAAATACATTATGTCGATTAAGAGATGAACCTTCATTAGTATTATTTACAGGTAATTTAATTATTTCATTTCTTTTTTTGTCATTATTTTTTTTTCTGTTAATTCAAAATTAATCATTTATTTTATTAATTTGCAAAAAATGAAAATAAATCATTAGTGTAATTTGCAGGAAAAAAACGGTCTTACCTCTGATAGTGTGATATTGACAGTTTACCTCTGATAGTGTGATATTGACAGTTTACCTCTGATAGTGTGATATTGACAGTTTACCTCTGATAGTGTGATATTGACAGTTTACCTCTGATAGTGTGATATTGACAGTTTACCTCTGATAGTGTGATATTGACAGTTTACCTCTGATAGTGTGATATTGACAGTTTACC